GTACCCTAAGTTACATTATAAAATAACGTAATTCGATATTCCGAATCAAAGATTTCAATATTTTGTATAAATTGTAGAATAGCGTATTTCGAGATGTATGCGTTATCAGTGTTCGGATCGCTCAATTTGTATGGCATAGTTAAAGTCAGTACGCCAAAAAACAAGCAGAAACAATACAAAAAGAAATCCGTAAAATTCAGTTTTGACTGGTTCATGGATCCAGCAGAGGATCGGAAAAAGCTGACCAACAGAGAAAACTTTCTTCACTCATTTACCATTAACCCTTTCATGTTAGGAAACTCCTATTGCGTAGGAGAACTTCTACATAAAAACTTCATACATCTTTATAATTTATACTAAGCATCCCAATGTACTGTACTTCTGTGAATTATCCCAATACAATATATGTATTTCTGTAAATTGGAACTAATCCTTACTGTAAATAAATTGATTTCTGCGAAGTTTCGTTAATTTTTTAGGTTATGACTCGAATAATTCCGAAAGGACAATCGATATGACTGGTGAAAAATTCAGATGACAATCTTGAAAACCACATGAAGTAGTGCGAAATAACTTTACCACTACATTTTCTTTAATCGATTTTTCGCCAAGTCACAATTCAGAGATTTTGGATTCATCAACTAATAAAATCATTTTATTTCCATAGTACGTGATACCTGTGATTGACAGATTGTTGAACTTTTCACTAAATTCGGAATTGATATAGCAGTTCTGACCTGATTAAGGCTCATTTAAAGCATTTCGTGTAATAATGGCTTAACTTTTTGGCAGTGCTGATCAAATCGGTTTTCTCTCTAGTTGCTGCAGTAACAGTTGAGGCAGCAGAAGCTGTTAAAACAAAAACCATAAGGGATTTCATTATTAGCTTTATGCATTTCAAAATATGTCGCAGAAATCTTAAAAGTTAGTTCATCAGATTTGCAGTTATATCAGTATTGTCATCTGAAGAAAATGGTACAGAAAGTAGGAGTCTGTATTTCAAAGTTTTCTCATCCGCTACAAATTAAATGAAGGTGTAGGAAAAATTGAAAATAAAAAAGTTTGGTTTGTCGGGTTTGATTTGGAAGGGTTTGTTCTTAGGCACAGACGAATATTCTGAGAAGGTATTCTTCGTTCGGTTCACGAGGAAGTTATTTATTCGCAGAAGATATTAAATTGTAATAACGCAGAGGATAGTAATCAAATATTTATCGAAGAGAATACAGGATACAATGTACGGTGCAGTCCTTGGTTGAGTGTTTGAAAAGGAGAAAAAAATGAATGATCCCATCCAGTTATAGCCTTGAGTATACATACAATTTTAATTAACACAGTGAGCATATTTGGGGGTGTAGTCTATAACAAACATTACATCAGATTTTCCTTAAACTGTCAAAATCCTATTACAACAAAAGGCTCTCATTGCAACATCAAGCATTGCAATTAAGATCGGTTCATGGACAAAGAAATTTAGATTATGGGTGTGGTTTGTTTCATAAAAAAAGGGGAAGGGATGTGAACAAACAAACACGCATGAGACAATGAATTTGAGGAATGTAAAATTGGTTGAATGATTCATGACATTGTTACAATTTGTGTGGTTGATTTGTACATTGGTTTATTTTATCATTTTAGTTCATTAGGAACTTCGCGATATTCAAAATTCGCGACAGAAGGGTAATTTATATCAAAAAGAAACCATAATTTATATCAAAAAAATACTGCGATTGAGGTTTTAAATTATTTTGAAATTCTTTCTTATCAAAAAATTTTTATACATCAACCTCAAAGAAAGAAGTGATGAGAGTATCAGAAAATAGATATGCATGTCTGTTAAATGATAGTGTGAGTGTAGCCATAACTAAGCTCGCTTCCGCACTCGATCATGAATTGCACGCAGAAAGAAATTAAATTAAAGTCAAACTGATCTTGTGACTTTATAGGATGAGCAAACCCTAAAACCAAACTTTTTTCACAGCGTCAAAGTTTCTACGTTCAGAATTAAACTTGAATACTTTTTTAAAAACATATTATTGTTAAACATAAATACCTGAATACTCATGTGATCACTTAGGATTAAATCAAACAAATGTTAACTCCCTTTCCCTTTTCTTAACAAAAATTCTTTAGTAGCATTCCGAGTTTTTCAGTGCTTCTTACTAATACGACCAAAAGAATTCAAAACTCCATGATACACTAAAAATAAAATCTTATTCCCAAATGATTGCATACCAGAAAAGTCTAAATCATGGTAAACCAATCCCTTAAATCTCGGTACTTGAACCGCTCTGTCCCACTGTCAATCAAAATAAATGTCCTGGCAACAAATGACCTAATCTAAACCATCGCCTACTCCCAAACGATATTCTGCTTCAAAAATCCAACATAAATCTTTTTTGCACGAGAAGCCATGTAATAAAAATTACTACGCTGTAGAAAATCAAACTGTATTGCGAAAGCAGATAAAAACAGTTAAGGTCAATCAAAGAAGCTGAAACCTGTAAAAATAATTACACAATTTCCATCAGTTCCTCCTGAAATAATTTCTTCCTTTCAACCAAACAAATTCGACCACTTTATTGTGATACCAATATCATCTTGAGCTGCCGTATAAAGTCAAGGATAAAACCATTGCAATAAACTGAGTAACAGACTATTTCCCCAGTGAAGACCTCTCGAAAGTCCGAAATCCCAGCTCTAGATTTATTGAAAGTCTAAAGAGAATTTTGAAACCACAATTTTACTACAAGCGAATCGCCAATTTTGAATGCAACAATGATAAAGCCCTTACTTCAACTGTGTGGATATTCTGCAACTCCAACTACTCAAGTACTTAAAAACCATTTTACGACAGAATAGCAACACAGATAAACATCAATCAAAAGCAGTCAGTCATTTTGGAAATCATTTCTAATCAATACTAATAAATGCATAATCACAGTATGTCATCTCGTTGAGGTGACAGGCAAAGGATGATCCAAACACAGCAGAAAAGAAAAAATTCAGACTGGAAAGACTGGAAAGGTACTGCAAAAAAGCATGATAGATAGCTTTTCAAATATAATTCAGTATGTCCCTGAAATTATGCAGCAATGCATTGAATGAAAAGATGGAAACCTGAGGTTAATACAGTGCGCACTAATGTGGCGTTACGAATGTATTATATACAGGATTCAATTAGCAAATTCTTGACTATTTGTACAACCACTGTTTCCGTTGTTGGTAATGCAAGTATTTCGAGCTCCTGCGAGCACAGCAGATAACGCTTAGGAACTCTGAAAATATTAGCATTCCGATTCCCAGAGACTGGAAATTAAAAACGACATTAATGATACAATGACTCTGAAATTTCCTGAAGCAACAGTAATTCTCTTGATATCCGAAATTAGGATAGAAGTCGGATACACTATCTGAGAAAATATCAATATTAAACACTTGGTCAGAAAATCTTTTTCACTTTACATGAGTGAATTTAAAATTAAATTAATGCACCCGCATATTAATCGTAATTTATTACCATGAAATATTAAAAAGTGAATGAAATGCAACAAAGGACAAATGAATAGAAAAATGAAACAACCTTATCAGTATTCATTACACCAGCGGAATTAAAATGGTGGGAAATATCTCGACTCTTGTCCAGAAAGCATCAACAAGATGCTCAGCAAGCACCATCTTTCTACACATTTTGAAATATAAGTAAAACATGAGAGGTAAAATCTCTTCCGGATGAAAATAACAAACCCAACATCCATCCAGTCTGTAGCAGGAAGTAATTCAAAACCTGCACTGAAATGGTTTCTTTTCTAACCAATAAAAACACAGAATTCTACAATTTGAGTGAAAAAAGGAAATCAATCATAGGAGACTGGAAACCGGCCATAACGGTATAGCTAACAGCATCGGGTATTGAATTACACTGCACGGATAATTTTATTCTCTCAACACTTGATTCGATAGGTACTTTTCTAGTTTAATAAATGCTCCATATCAAAATCAGTTTTATCATCCAAAATATACAGAATCAAGATTTCTGTTCCTATTTCTCCAATATTTAATGGCGAATACATAATTCAAAAAAAGACATACAAAGCTTGACTGATTCTCATATATATGTAGCCGCCATAAAAGAGCAAGAATAGAAAAGATTTGATTGAATAAATAATATTAATATGAACTGGAAAGTATACAATAGTAAATATTAACTCTTATCCAGCACCGATAAGAACTGGCTGTGAAACTACATTCTTCACATGAATGTATTATGATATGTAAGGATAATAATCCTTGAAGTAGATGATTATCTTTACATATATGAAATGTATAATGATATGCTGAATGAAGCACTGTAAAAAATTTTTTTTTAATGACATTTCCAAAAATATCGCAAAAATTAGGGCACACTACAGCTATCTGAAAGAAAATTTTCTCCGTCATCAGCGAAATGACCTGAAGGACAAAAAGCATAGAGAAGTTTAGCAAAAATGAAAGCAAGCTTCCATCATTAAAAAAAGTAGTAGTTGTAAAAACCAGAGTATTACATTATCAGTTTCCGCACATAATGTTAATAAACCATATCGATTGAACTGAAGAGCGTAAGGCATATTCAATATTTTGAACATAACATTTTAGTATCAATGAAATTTGCACCTCATCTGGGATGATCTGGGATAAAGCTCTTTATCGAAGTTATTGTATCATAAGGGTAAGCTTCCCTTTACTGCATCTTGCTCTGTTTAGCTGTTGTGAATGTGGTAGATTCATGTTGTCGAATATGGGTGTAATCTTCTGATTATAAATATTTGCTGACTATAATTTGCATGCCAAAGCCGAAGCTAATATCCCAGATCTTCATTCAGTTTGTTATTTGAACTAAGTTTTGGGATAACGAACTAGAATTTTTGATTTCCATCCATAGGCGAATTTGATCTGTTATAACTTCAATCATCCATAATGACTGTGTAGATTCAATCGTCAAACGGTTTTTTTATATATAACGACTACCCAATCCTGCGACAATGACTGCATCGTTTGTGAACTGTGCATGGAATGAAACATAAGAATAGTAAACCAACAGGAAATGTACATACCGCTAACAATACCAGACAGACTAAACAAAACAGATCCGTCTGTCCAGAGAGAACTCCAACCTGAAAAATAATATTCAAAAATATGAACAGCTAGAAGCCAAGAGGTATATTTTTACGGGAACAAGCTCAATTTCTATAGCAATGAAAACGAAGCATATGAAAAGTACTGGAAGATTAGAAGAGCAAGGCTTATTCCAAAAAGAAAAAGTAGAAGTGCATTGTCAGTTCATCGAAGAATGGAGAAAGAAGATTAACATTAAACAATGGCATCTTTATGCTGAGTAAACTGAGGAGGTATGCCAATAAGTACAAGTGTCCCAATGAGTAAACAATAAGGTCAAGTCAGATTATGATAATCATTACAAAAGAACAAAACCTAGGGGAAAAAAATTGACTTACTCCACAATAGGCGCAATGTCCTGTATGTGGTACTGGTACTGGAGGAGGTTGTGACGACGCAGAAGCTAAAATACTGATTAAGGAATACTTCATGGATGATACACTTGATGCATACATTGGAATTAGCCCATTCAGTACCCATAGAAGAGGTACATCATTCTACGAACTATTAGTCTTCCAAGCTATTAAAATGTAATTTTTACTTCCTAATCTGTTCACATAGGTAACATACATCGGTTAGACTTCAGCTCACTTTATCGATTGTAATTTGTTTCTTGTACATGATAGAATTGCGCAAAACATGAGGCTTCAGAAATGGGATTTGGTAAAAATGAAATTTAACAAATATCTGTATAAAGAAATTTTCTCTTTATTTCGTCCAAATTTGCATATTTCAGGAATGCTTAAAAGACTAAACGTAAATTTACAATAAAACAAACGCAATGGAGCAGGTAAAGTTGGTGGAGACACCTGGTTCGGAACTGAGAGCAAAGGATATGGAGGAACGGCACCATAAGGTTTTGGAAACGCCATGTCATTTGAATTAGTCGAATATGGTCCAGAAGCAGCTGGATATGCCATTGCTGCTTGATATGAAGGAGGAGGTTCACTGCAAAAAATGTTTTCCAAAGTTACCCTAGCTGTTTTGTATACAACCTATACTGCATGATCTTAACCATTTAAGCAGAAACAGAAAGTGGTTAAAATAGATACTCAGTTGTACGAATATTCTGCCGTATTTCATCGATCACAATTAATCTTGGCTGAGTTATTCAATAAAGTCAAGTAAGTTAATTTGAGTACTTTCACTCACATCAACAAACTTCAATATGCTGATTTGGCGGTACGATAGTTTGGTATAAGAAATTTCGCTAAAACGCTTCTAGTAAAAAAAGTAACATCTAATAATCACTTTATTGAGTTTAACGAGAAAAATACATCGTAAAGCGAGATAAACCTGTACGACGATAATCCCATACCACAATTAATTGGAGGCTGTGGGCCAAGAACAGCTTGTAAAGATGGCTGCTGATATAGTATCGAGGAGGAAGTACTTTGACCAATTATGTTCGACGAAGAATTTTCTAATGGTGCTGACGATGTACCGCTATCCGACTTTTCTTTTCCCAACATTGTACGAATATAGCGACAAATGAAAATGGTATACGACCTTGAGAATAGAACTATCTGTAAAGTGTTTTATAGTAAATGGACTAATTAGTAACACTGCTTAATAAGCATGAAATCTAGCCAATCTACCTAACTATTGTACTAGGTGCTGAAATATCCATTTCATCGCTGATTGTTGCTATTCGAAATGAAATTATAATCCATCCACCTCAAAAACGTTACAATACCCAAAGTTATAATTATTTAAATTCCGAGAATATTGATCGCCTTGAAGTTCGTTTTTTGAGATCCAAATTTTGCAAAATTTTCAAATTCCCAATAACGACATTAACAAATGATTTCCCGAATCTCAACGATTTAAACAGAAGTATCAGTGAATGATGCTTGAATGACAGGTAAAGTTAATTACTGGAATCACATATCTAGCCTATGTACGAACTCTCTGAAACTTAGCAATATTCTAATACATTATGCAGTAAATGATAATTGTACGAGCATCACAAAAGGATAATGTTGCGGAAACTTAACTTCAGGCAAACAAGTACAAGAAGGTAAAAGTAAAAGCCAAAACAAGAATTAAAAAAGGAACGCTCTTCTACAGCTAGCCATTATTTTTGCAGTAAACGAGAAAATGCTATACTCGAATTTTGTTAAAAAATTGGTGAGGGGAAAGAAATCGAGGTGAACCATACTACCCAGAACATTAATTCATCAAGTTCTTTTACAAGAAATAAGAGATGGGAAATTGCACCACTCAGTTCTTGACTTATTACGCATCATTGTATGCCAAGAACCTTAAACAATGAGGACTGAAACATGAAGTGAGAATATGGTTTACAGACGGGGACATGAATTCCGTAGCGAAAATATATGCAAAGTTCCTTTCTTAATTTTTAACTAAAACATCAAAGGACCTGTTCACTGCAAGCGTAATTAAAAATTGTAAAGTTAAAAAAAAAACATAAAAATTGCGAAGTTAAGAAATAATTAAAGCTAGAAAATGATATTAAGTAACCAGTCAGGTAATGATTCAAAAAGCTATTATGGAAGAACGAAAACATATCTTTTCTTTCAAATGAAATTTTCATTCACAACAAAATTTAACAACAAATTTGTAGAACAAATCGAAGGCTAGCAAAAGGAAAAGTATAAAAACAGCAGCCAAAAAATGATATAAAACAAAACTCATTCAAAGACACCTTTCTGCTATATGTAACAGAGAAAAATATATCAAACTCAATATTCGTTAAATAAATACGTTTATTTACCAGTATTACCGCTACTTGTATGACATTTCGGAGGTATAAAAATACTGTGGCACATTTCCAGATACCAGCCAGAATTACGCAACAAATTTGATTATTTACAAAGGTATTAAGTAGAAACAAATACCACTACACTTTCCTTAAAATGTGCTAATACATCTAAACACTTCCTACTGATAAAAAACAAACGCACATGACATATAAAAATTCTTGATATTATTATAAGCAAGTCCCTGTGTTCTTGTCCTCTTACCGACAATTGTCTGTGAACTTGAAAAGTATTATTCCCGAAACAAGATTAAAGAAAAATGAGCAAGTATGCGTGTGTAATCAATCGTTTCTAATCAAACTATTAGAATCCATATCACAGATAACAGTAAACAGCAGGTATTCCGCTAGGAATGAACCGTAAATTTTTTTGTAAAAAAAGCCCCCAAGAGTTTCATGCAACAAGAAATGCTGTGCAGAAGGAAAACTGATGCAAACTCCTATCCAATTAACTCTGCTTCGCAAATTTGTGATATTCCTTCAGACTGTTGTTAGTGTTAACCAGACAGTCATTAAAACCATGAAAGTTATTGCTATTTAATTTGCAGTAAAAAACCGCGAAATAGTTAACAAAAATATTTGAAAGTGTATGAGAAATGTTACTTCGTTCATTCCCCGATCCTACCTTGGGTTTGCAATTTGAGTAGAGAGTCAAAAAATCGTTTTGGAAAGTGTGCTGGCCTATAGAAATGATTTATTGCATTGTTAGAGATAATAATAATAATATAATAATGATAGCAGTAATATAACACTAATAGCGATATTAATATAACCATAATAACAAAAATAATAGTGATGGCGATAACAATAACCATCCTCGTAGCTTCTTTCTTCTTTTCTATTTTCATTTTCTTTAATTAGCTTTTTCTCCATTTTAATGCTATTGAGAAATCCTAAGCTAATTTCTAAGTTCTGCGTCAGAAAGAACTGAGCACGAATCAAAACCCCAATGCATAATATGAGACGACTTATAGAAAAAATGAGTCTTGTCAATAATAATAATAATAATGATTAAAATACTTGCTCCTACAAGAAATTATGAAAAGAAACAGAGGTAAAAATCAACTGCGGAAGCAAATAAGAGATAGCAAAGAAAGCTATCGATGATCACGATGACAAAATAAACGAATCATCGATCAGTCGGCGCAGAACCCTCCACCACGAGGTTACACCCAGTACGCTCAAATCGTGCTAATCAGAGAGACAGACGGTGAGCTGTAATAAAAAAGTGCTTCTCAGAAAAGATGTTCTGTCTCTCAGTACCTCAAAATAATTTTACTTTTTAATTTTTCAAATGAAATGCTTTCTTCGTCGAACTAAATGTCTTCCCATACAGTTAATCAAACAAAACTTCGACAAACCCCGAAAAAAATAACTTAAAGCTCATGCCATCTGTTCACTTAGAATGAAAAATCTTAAACATTTCATACCGTTTTATAAATACTAGCATTAACTACATTTGTTTTCAAGCTACTAAAAATATTGCAATTTTTCTGGGAAAATTTGCAGAGGACGTTCTCCAAAGGAAACTAACACTTCATTGGTATGTGCAAAGCAACTTCATCCGGCACTGATACAGAATGAATTAGATCTCTATATTTGTAAACGACTCGTAGCATTTTCGATTCTGTCGGACAAGGATCATAAAATCCCGGTAATTGACTCTGCAACACAGAACAGTATTCATAAAAATAAAAATATAGATAAAGCTACAAGCACCATGCTTGCAACGACGGATTATCCACTGTTGGCATTATTTGTAATCATTATGATCATACAGTAACTAAGAATTCTTAACCCGATCCCTTAAGCAGTTCTGTAAATTAAATGGACAAAAATCGAACGGTTTATAGTACAGCTTGACACCCGATTAGGAGTGATTTTTTTCATCATTATACCACTGCTGTATCAATTGGAAACATTTTTTTTTAATATCCATATACCTATACTGTGCAACGGAATTCTGAAATAGTTTCGAAATTCTGTTCTAAAGTTTTTATCAAAAGAACTGCAAGGTTTCGACAGATTCTGTTTAAAAAAAATAAGAATGTAACTTATTAGAATACATTCCAATATTCTAACTCCAGAACTTTTGAAGCCATGATATTATGTTATTCTGTTTTTTAAGTGTCAAATAACAAAATTCTATGGATTTAAAGAACCGAGAAATTACAGAAGATAAAGAGATATTAAAAAACTATTGAGTAAGGGAAGATGTTAGGGAAACAAGGGGGATGCTTACTTTTCCAGAGTATATCCTCAACTGCGAATCATTAACCATAGCTTGTAACGGCACTGTGACGTCAACAATACGGTCGCCTAGCAATGGATATGACAATGCATTATGACCTACTCCGACCATTTGACCATATTTCGCTTCAACAATGACTAAACCGTGTTTCTGTTCTTCCTCTTTCGCTATTCGTTCCGCTGTACGTCTCATCAGATCTATGACATTGCTTGCTTCTTCACGTTTAACAGCATCTACCTAAACACATGGTTTTTGAACCCCTTGATAAACAAATGATTATTTACGAATGTACCTCACGTAAGCAATGTAACATGAACAAATAACGGATTCAATAGTAATTTCATAACTACGGCTCTACTAATTTTCGATCTCTGTTAATTGGTATTTGGATACCTGTCGCTCTTCCGAGTGGTCCTCAAACAACGACATGAAACGTTCGTATGCATGTCGAAAAACTCCTTTCAATAAATAAAAAGCTGCAATCGGCACAATAACACCATATAAAGTTGAACGTGCTAGATCTTCCTCGCTATCACATAAGAGAAATTGATAATCGTAAACCGAGGTACCCGTTTTCAATCTTAAATGAATTTCGCATAAGTAGGAAATAAAACAGCATTTAAAAGGTAGTATATCTTAAAATAATGAACATACTGATCTAAAGCAAAAGCTAAAAAAATCCACACAGAACTCACCTGAATTTAGCTTGCAAAAGACAAGAAGGAAAAGCAAATGACAAATTACATCCTATCCGGGAATATCTTGACAAACGCCTTTCAAATGCAACTGCTGGCATAATACCCATTAATGAAAATATGAACGAAGTTTCGGTAAATGAGTCCTGTTCTAAACTTCGCTTTGTATAAACCATCCGAATATTTGAATTTGCTGGTGATATCTAAAAGTATTTATCACTGATATAAATGATATAAGTATAGATCCCCAGAGAATTCTCGCCATCACAACCATCCCTTTGTTCTTTTATTTTAAGAGCAAAGCTAATACTGAGCAAATAAGACAACTGGAAAAACCAACCGTCAAGTTAATGAGGAACTTTGGCATATTCAATTCGGTATGAATCAGAGATGTTGTCAAAGACGGTTGCAATCCACAGTGATATATCACAGATCCTTGCCAACATGGATGTAGATTCCTAGAGAGGACTGAAAAATAACAAGTTTCAATTGTAGGCTATTGCTTAAGGTTGCATCACGTTCCAAATTAGTTTTCCGTGCAAATATATTCAGATTGCAAATGTATTGCAAATGTATGCAAATGTGTAAATGTAATGCAGCTGTAGAGTGAAATAGAGTGAACTTACTAAAAGTGCAGCCCGGATTGATTGCTGAATAAAGTGGGAAATATTGCACTGAAGGCTGTATCACAATTGCATTTTTCAAATATATACTTTTGGCGTATTTGCATCCTAGCAATATCGAATCTGGTGTTACAGTTGTGTTGAACTGAAAACTGTTTCAAATATTGAGTTATAGAACTGTTTATGTTTCAAATATTTATTTGCCCATTCATAACTTCATATTGATACCCATATAGCAAGCCACATAAATACCTCAATCAGACAGGATGATGAGACCACTCTTTTCCAGTGCAACATAAATGATCCATCACCTTTACCATTATTCATCTTAACACGACCGTTTAAACCCACTTTGTCTTTTGCTGTCATGGCACATTCGATATTCTGGGATAGAGATAGACCGGTTACTTGAGGAGGACATCTAAAATAATACTTTCAATCTATTTTCCATAAGTTTTATTTCGACGGCACATCTCTATTGTTTCCACACTAATTAAAGTAGCAGGTGTTCATAAATAAATGAGGACAGTCCTTGAGTACACAATTTCCAAATAAAATATTTTTGCTCACTTTTGAATTCCTTTAAAGTTTTCTCGAGAACAGAAATTAAAATTTAACTGCAAGAGAAAATTAGATCGAAGGAATTATTAAGAGAGAACCTTAGTTCAGGATTCGCAGCAAAAATTCCCGTCAATGATGTTTTACAGACAAATAAGCCCTGGAAACAATGAATTAAAGCCAAAATACACGAAATGCAACTAAATCCGACAATAGTGTGGCGAAATTTCTTCACACATTCATAACAGCCATTAACATTATGAGGAAGAGAAAGGAGAATATTTCATTACGATTAACAAACTTGAGATAAATAAATACACATACTGAAGGATGAACCCGTTGTAGCATTATTTCGGTTTCTCGTAAACGTTTAAGAAATTCATATTCTCGTCTAATATTCTCAGCGCTGTCAGATTTAGGAATCAGTTCCCAGCCATGCAGTTCGAGTCCTTGCAGTCCAACCGTATCATAAATCGCTCTCATTTTAGGATCGGAAAGCGCTATAGAAATAAAGTAATTAAACTGACTGTTATGTTACTAACTAGCAATAGTTTCTCCAGCTCGAAAACTGTTTTGGAAATGGTGCTATATATTTACATGAAAAAAAAACTTGCTTTCATGGGCTTTGCGTAATTTCAAAAAAAATTCTCGGCATCCTTTTTTTCATCCGGATCAAGGTGTCGATCTGGATGGAATATCAAACATTTTTGCCGATATGATTTATTAATTTCATCCAGTGTTGCCTACAATTTAACAATTTCGTCATTTATGCCAAGAACTAAATCAGATAAGTGCAAGTATAGCCTATTAAATCTTATGCACTGCCATTGAATATAATGTCAAAAATTTACTCAAATTGAGTCCAAGTTCACTTTAGCCAGACAGTGCACCAGATGGGATACATCGTTCACCAAAACTAGCTCACCATGATCCGTGCAAAACTATTCCGTTCAAAAATTAAAGTAGAATTTTTTCTTTTATGAATTACAATCATTGGGGAAAACTCACATCTCTAGGTACATTTAAGACCGCATAAAAATCGAAATCTTCATCATCCTGATTGTCTGCTCCTTCCTCATCTCCATAAATTGAACTCAGCGAAGAAGCACCTGACATCTCTATTCTTATTTTTCCGATTTATAAATTATATCCAATTTAGCCTGCAATACCTTACTCCTCTATTTTACAATACAGTGTACTCCACAGTTCATTTTTCATAGAAAATACAATTAAAGGGATAAGTTAATGGGAAAGCCAAGCATTAAAACGACCTCTCACCTTACATGCCTTATACCAAACGATAAAAGGTAAGAATATTTAAATCAATTGACATAGCCTAAGGACCATCTCACTACGTCCTCTTTAGAAGCCATTCTAACGTACCTTCTCCAAAAACCCTTCTACCTAATACTTATTATCCACACAACCAGCCCATAACCTGCAACCAATCTTACGTCCTTACGTTTACCACACCAAGACCTCAGGTTTCATTCCAAACACCGTCCACTCACGATTTACCGGAGATGGCCGCAGTGGCATGTCACGATGGTTTGATTGTTGTGGGAATCTGTTTTTCAGCGTTGAGTTACTGTGAGTTTTACTTCTTGTTAATTATGTGCGGGGTATTGGGGAGGAACGAGTGGAACTCATTCAAGATTTTATGAGAGTGTCGTCTGGATGAATTTATTCCCGACAACCAAGAAGTTATATGAGTTTTAGTTCAGGACACTGTCACAGTTACTGACGATGAATTTTCTCTGTCGCACTACCGATTTTTTTCGCTATGTTTCAACTAGTAGTTTTGCTGAATGTTCTCATGCCAATGAGTTTTTTTGGCTGTGTCGAAATCGAAACCAAATGTCGCATTTTTTAAGTGTTCGAAGCTACCATGCATGAGTGCTGACTGGATAGAAATTGCTACTTTCGTTGAGGAAATATATTTATCTATAAAACATCGTAATCATTACATTTTCAATGTTTAACTTCATGAAATTTGTACCGGATTCTCCGGCCGAAAAGAAATTGCCCATTTTTTGCTTCCAACAGTTCACAAATCGAAACTATCATTTGGAATCATATTCCTTGTCATATTTTTTATTTCACAGTATAGTTGTACAACGGAATATTGTAAACATTGAAATTTTAAATACTAATTGGAGCCAATATTTTTTTGGAAATGCTATCTTAATATAAGGAGTTGCAAGACTATTAATAATTAGCTTTTATATTTGGAAGAATTCATACTGCAGTGGCAATCGTTTGATCAGGAATCATTAGAAAAACCAAGGATGTGATTATTAATTGTAATGTATTGATGCGAGATAGAATTCGGAAAATTCGACGAATTAAAGCCAAGTATTCCAACGTTAAATTTTTTAAGTGGTGTTGCATTTGTGTTTATTTCCGGTGTTTCATTTGTGTTTATTTCCGTTGTCATTCCAAATTTCAAACTTCAATTTCAAGTTTCAATGGCTTCATTTTACCACTGCTTTAAGAAATCCGGTTTGCTGAAGCCGGTAAGACATATTCACATCTAATCAAAAGTAACTGTTTCGCTATCACTCTCACTCATTTCATCCTATCCATTGTCGGTTTTACTCATCGTTTACAAGCCTTCTTTTTCTTCGGGTATTTCCAGTTCCCTGGCTCAAGCCCAATTCATCTCCCATACTTCCATATATACTTGCAAATTCCCTCCCCTTCAAAGTTTTGTTTTCATTGTCCATCCAAATTGTGTTCTGCGCATTTTGGCCAAATGAGCTCGAGTCTCCAAAAAACATTTGTTTTAAATGCTGATACACATATGGGATCAATCCCCGCCGGCATGCATCACCAGTTGTATTCAAGTTTTGGAAGTTTCGGAAATTCAAAACAGTCATTTTGACCTTATATTCCAATTTTGAGCAAGAGTAATATTTTATGAGCAATAACATCAAATGTATTTGTTTCTGATCGAACGCCAGCAATTATAAATAAATGCTCAAGGATGTCATTAAACTATATTTCTTGCCATAATGGTCTAACTTAACAAGCTCTTCAGTCTTCAAATAATTTTCGAGCAAAAAGATTTTTTCAAATAATTTCGAAAAGATCGTAATAACGCTAATGTTTCTTATCAAATCCGTTTTATATCTGTAAAAATTTGCTACTCACTGAAAATGCCTTCAACATACGCAGACTGGTTTTTTTTCTTTTTAAACCAAGAAAAATAAGACAATTTATGTATGGATTTTAATTAAGAAAACCCTGAATAGTAGAAACTATGGACTTCTGGAATGCTGAATTCAACAATTATTAAAGCAATAAGGACCAACAAAACTTGAATGTTTGCCATTTATGCATAAGGAAAATTTATGTTCCTCTTAGCGCCAATTATTATAGCTTTTTTTTGAATTTATTCGATGTGATTTCATCATCTGTTGAGTGATGTGTTGGAAATGTCATCTATCGAAAAAGTGATGCTGTTGATTGCAGTTCATTACTTTTCACCGATGATTGAGGTAGTTCTTTGTTGACGTTTGTTTTTGTTTTCCTCTGTTCAGTTTCTGTGATTCGTTTCTGGCGAAATTTCTCGGTAACTTGAATCTTAAATTATATATTATAACATCGGGAGCTAGCTCAGAAAGAGAGAGGTCAGCCTAATCTCTAATTTCTAACCTCTCTCCTGATCAGGATCTCTGATTGCAATCAAACGACAGCTAGCTTTTCGAACGATTTCAAAAGCATTAGTTGCAGATGCCACTACTGGCGCAAAATTTTCAAAGTGAATAGAAATAAAAGCGAAAATTCTGCGAGCATATATATAGTTGGAATTAAAAGCGTGTGATGAACCTGTTTGATGGAAATGTTCATAGAGGTTGAAATTTCAAGGGATGCACCCATATTAATGTCACTGTTTGAGGAGCCCTTATATCCTGGAGCTGAAAACAAAGTCAGCATGCAACCATTCGAAAACAATGCATATCCATGAAGTGGTGCCTGAAAATTATGGCCACATTTTAAGAAATCGAGTCATTCTAGACTGTCACGAAAGCGATATTTCTTGAAACTATCAGTAAAAACATTTGACATTCTCGAAACGAAATTTCCTAAAAATTCTTTTGCGAATGTCATTTTCGTAACACAAGATGTCGAGATTTTTCGGTATTGGTTAAAGTTAATTATCAAAAGACGGTGCACAAAAGGTTCTTCATATAATTTCAATGTTACAAAGTTGTATCTCCAAGTGTCTATCAAAATGAAAAAGAAAAAAACCAAAAAAGAAAAAAACCAATAAAAAAAAATCTTAAAGGTTGAAGAAGAAGAAAATAACTAAGTCCTATTTTAACTAATTTTTCTCGTCCATAGGTTCTACTTGAGAGTAATTACTTTGCATGGTTTTTTATATGCAATTTACAACCGATACGTTAGTACAATTCCGTGATGCAATACCATACCCAGCATCTATTAGTAATTATTTCAATTTTCGTCCCATTTTCTCTCCCTTGTTTATTCACTTTTTGCAGTTTATTTCTAAGATCAAATTTTTCTGTATTCAATCAGCAAAAACTAGTATTCTATTGAAATTTTAATTCTCAATGAAGGAAGACTAAGCCTGATGTCCGCGAATCAACATGTCGATACCCAGCTTCTTGCAAAGATTTTGTACTGTATCAGACGCAAATAGTTGTCCAATGCCATATAATGGTTCGCGTTCAAAATTGCTCCGAAAACCAGTACGATCTGGAGATGTATCAGGATCCGACCACACCAAATCACATTCCAGTGATCCAACTTCAAATTCTTCCAAAGGCCGTCGAATTTCTCGGATTGCCTAAATTTATCAACGCTTTTTGATCTGTTCAATCCATTGATAGTGACAATTTGTGGATTTAAAAGATTTTAATAGCACATCTTCCTTGAGTTTCGGATAAACAAACTAGCAGACTTGTAGCGAAGTAAGTCTGGGGCTAATGCCACCATGCATCCCAAGAATTCGACCACCAATGAGTGCCGCCAGTGGTAAATTACTGAACAAGGATCGAAAGTAAGGATATAATGCTCGACCATCTTTACCTTCTGCAATGGTATTTTAAAGGTAGATCATTCTTGATTCTCTTCTACATCTCAATCATCTACCAGATTTCAATGGTTGCATTGAGTTCAATATGTAAGTGTTACTTTTTAATTTTAAATTTACCAAAATTTCCAGAAAACCTGGCGCAAACTTCTTCATAGAACGAATATGCACGATTCAGTGACTCTTCTTCATGATTACCACGGCATAAAAAAATATTCTTCGGGAAGCGAACCTTAAACGGAAAGATAATTGAAATGCTAGTCGAATTTTAATGCCAATTTAGAAATTGAGCCAGGAAACTTACTTTAAGTGCAGTAAGTAATGCAACGACCTCGATGCCATGTGAGCCACGATCAACGAAATCACCTAAAAATAGGCTACGTACTTGACTTGGCCATCCATTTAAATTAAACCATCGATGTAAATCACTATATTGGCCATGTATATCACCATATACCACACAAGGTAATGGGACCTGAAATTCATTTTCACTGCTGTCTAATCATCTGAGTACCGAGCTGTAGGAATCACCTAGCCTATAGGTTTTTTCGAAGAAAATTAATGATTGTTTTGATCTGACCTCTATCAGTGTTGGTTCTTCGAGGAAGACTCGTGCACCTTGAAGAAGAATTTCTCTGATTTCTTCAAATTTGAATGTAAACTGTTTTGGACCATTCCTAATCAACTTCAGCAATAAATCTCCATTGAGATCTTCCGGAACCGAACACTCCAAAAAATGCGAATGTTTATAGAAGTTGTAAAACTTACATCTCTCAGTATCTGTAAATTATCTGATCTTCATCACCAATATATTGCAAAGTTTCGTTGATTTTTTCAAAGCCTATGCTACATTTGTCCCGTTGGACTTCAATCACGGCCGATCACTGCCCTTCCCAGATTGGAGATAACATTATGTGGAAAATTGTGTAATAACTCGAATGACAAATCATACAAGGCAGAAGGTTCTTATCAGCCAGTGCTGCATTAAATCATAAATATAATCAATAAATGGTGCAATATTAAAAAGGACTTGCAGACATTATCATCTCTTGCAGAACAATCAGCATTAGTTATATCATCTGATGTAGCGTAAGTTATCACGCGTGTAATTTTTGGTGGCTTTTTACCTTTCAATACTGCTTTCAGCCTACCGCTCTGCTTTACTGTCCTTAAAGAAAGTTCCGCTGGAACATTAAGGATTAATTAGAAATATGGAAGTCAAACAAGTTGTGAAGTCATACCGATTTAAAATTTGTTATGCCAACTTCAAATTTCTGAAATTCGGCTTCTTAATAGATGTTAGTAAATCCAGTTTTAAAACATTTTTGATCTGATTTCCAAACAGACTGCTCGTTATACGGAAGAGCAAAATGAATTTATTATTTTTGAATCTGTTAAGCTAGTTTATCATCAGAGTTCATAAGGAAATTGAAAAGTTCGTTTCAAAATTTGTCTAGAAAATCGCACTAATATAAAAATTGAGATGAAATATGAGAATTATTAATTTGGTTAATATCAAAAGGAAAAAATCTGCTAGCGAAAACATTGATAGTCGTGAATTTGACAGGCAGAATAAGGTATCTTGCAACCAAGAGAACTTGTTGAAATTATGTATGTAATATACTGTAGCAGTGCATTTTGTTCCATTAGTGTAAGTTGTGCCGGGACGATTGTATCTGTGCGGTCTGAATGGATCACATTGGTAGACGATTTCTCTCCTGGAGTACAGATCATTCCGGGTAGGTTCTCATTATTTTCGACATCATCAGCAGTTGTTTGTAAAGCAACCATCTCTCCAATATTCGCATTCAAACTACAATATCAGTTTGCCACTAATTTTTGTAAAATAATTTTTTTAGTTAGTGTTGAAGACCTAAAATTTACTGAAAATGTTTGAAGATAAGAAAAGTTATCAAGTCATAAGATTTCGTCCATATTTATATCATATGTCAGTTGATAAGGCGATAGCTGAGAAAGAACTGAAATACTCTCCAAATTTTTTTTTCTTCATTCTCCCATTCTCAAAAATAAACTTATCAATACACGGCCTGACGCTTCTGTCGTCTTTTATTGATAAGAACAATTATAGCACCAACGAGACAGGCAATGACTACAGCTGTGCAAACCACTCCACTGACGAGACCCCAAGAAGTCTTATTCACTTTATTAGTCATCATTGAGTTACCACTACTTATTCTTTGCTCTATATTTATGTCTTGTGCTGCTCTTTTCAATTCTGTAAAATGGTCTAGTAAAGATTTAATGCCATGGATAATGATAAGTCATGCGATTTACTGTACTGTAGTAACATTTAAGTCAAGTTAATTTGAAAATTTCCACTCACTCATTCTTTTCTTTGATCTTACTGGCTTCTTCAGTCTCATTATGATTCATTAGAAATATGAATAGTCAAGTGTTTTCCAAGTGTATTGTGAAAAACAAAACTTGGATGTAGTTATCGGAAAAAGTAGCTTAGTGATGTTTCTGTATAGCATGGGTTTGTAATTTAAAAATTTCGCTAACCTGGTATTCCAACATCTGATTTGTTTTTATCAATTTCTTTGGGAAATACTTTTGCTTCTCCTAAACCATTATTTGAAGATTTATTTAATTTCATAATCTCAATTTTCTTCTTTGTACCAGTACTTAGGCATTTAGATAAAAATTTTAGAAGGAATGGTAAGCATAACTTTTTATTTCAAATTTCAATTCCAAACTTTGACTGCCGCAATTTTCAAGGATTGAATTTTTTTTTGAGTGGTGTATAATTAGAAATTGGGAAAAGTGAAACTTCAAGAGACTAAACAGTGAGAGTTATTACTTCTGCGGAGATAATTTCCGTTGCACTTCGTTGTATTGCAGCAGCAATATTGTAACTGCTGATGAGAAGGAAATCGAGGTTTATTGAATAGCACGGGACACTTTTTGAACAAATTGTTATGACAGTTTATGCTATCCATCGTCGTTCTGTGCTAAATTATGCTGTCTTTGTAAGAATCATTTTTTTACTTCTTAAAGTTACTTCGAGAGAGCTGATTCAAATCTTCATTTACTCTGAAATTTTTGTTATTTCCTGAATTTTCTCTATCTTTTACAATCTTCATAGTTAAATTTTACTTCACGTTCCAAATAGTTCTACATTTTAGTGGAAAAAGCACGAGATTCCGTAATGATGATGAAAGTATTTTAAAATGATGTTGATTAGAAATGGAGTGAACAATAGCGTTAAAGCAAAGCATGAGTCTCAGAACTTTCACTGGGTTTCGATTGAATTAGCAGAAATCATTCTTGAGGAAATGATTGGTCAAATGAAAACTCTTTGGCTTCTTGGCTGATGAAAAATAAATTAGGCTGGAAAACATAGTGACCATATATATCTCGAATTATTTTTGCTGTTGTTCCGAAATTACTGAAGAATTTTTGCTTTCAGAAATAAATTAGATTTAGGTGGAAATACGGAAAGACTAGCTATACCTGACTAGCAACAGTACAGCCATAGAGTATGGTATCAGTATCATCAAATTCCATTGTGTAACACATTGATATGCCATCCGTTTCACTAACACATTTTTCAAACAACAGTGGTTGAGCATTTATTACACATTTCAGATGGTCACTTTTGCTATCGCTTTTATTTTCTCGTTTACTGCAGAAGAATTGCAAGCGTAAACATACGCAGATTGCATCCTTTCAAAATATCATTTGGAAGATCTTTGAAAAATCTAGGATGCTATTCAAAATAAAAAAATTTTTCATCCCTTCGCTCTTATCAAATTTGGAATAACAAATATCTTAATTGAAAAAATAATTTGAATTAAATGCCACACATGTCAATTAACATGCAGCAAGTTTGACTTTTAACCCAGTTGGTTCGAGTGCCAAATTTTAAATTCGAAAAAATCAAGACGATTAATTAGGAATTAGAAATATAATTGCACAAAGAGAACATCGAACTTTCTCGGCTGCCGCGTGTAATACATGAAAATACTGTAATGTATAGTAAATTCCCAAGTGCAAGTCAACGTAACAGCGATAGTTGTCTTAATTTCTTGCTGTGAAGTTTAAACTGGTAATTAAATTTAAGCTAACATCTTATTACACTCACATGAGAAAACATTCAGCAGTTAATAACCATGATAACAATAAAAGCAGCCACATTGGATGTCCCAAATAATAAAAAGTAAAGGTTTTGTCGGTATATACCTGTTTATAACTGTAAAAAAACTACTCATATCATTCAAGCACGCTCTCATTAATAAATGAATTGTTTTGGAAAATAGTAAGAAATTCAACACAGTATTAGAGTATTAGAGCTTATTAAGAAGTAGAACTATTAGAGTACGGACATCTTGTTACATTCACCTGAGAAAATATTCAGCAGTGAATAACCACGATAACAATAAAACCAGCCATATTGCACAACGTAACAGCGTTAACGTAAACGCTGATTACAAACTGATTACAGATCTTGATGGGATGATTTGTTAAAGTATGCTCTCATTAACAGATGGGACAATACATACCTGTCTGCTTTCAATTTGTAAAGTAACAAATAGTTTTACAACAGTACTTCAACATTGAGAGTTTGTACAGAAATCTTTGTTAGGCATTGACCTGAATGACCACTGTCAATGAGACTATCAAGGATTCGTAATCCCTACGCACATCGAGGTGAGGCCATAATATTCAGCACTGTTAGTTAGCGTAACAGAAACAATGCGAAGGTTTTGATAGACACGGGGAACCGGGGAACCGACAGATTATCTAAGACCAGGATAGCGCACATGATTACTGTGCCCCTTTAACACCGATTTTTTCAATGTCGATGTTTCACGCGTTTTTTGGAGCATACATTCTAAACGAAAAATTTATTTCAACATTAGAAAACTGCAAAAAAAAATATGGGCAAAAATGTAAAGCTGGAAATAATTAAAAATACGTGCTAAAATTAACAATGCATTGAAAAACTACAACTAACGAATTACTGGTAAATTATTTAATACATTAAAAAGCTGTACAAACTAATTCCAATCAATTTTGATAGTAGGATTATATATTTGTACTTCGCAAATACCCATAAAACCTGAATTATTTCATGCAAACGATTCCAAAGAATTCAACCCTAGTAAAGAAACAAACAATCCAGAGAGAAGAGCTAACAAACAGGTGGATCACCTATCTCTTACACCTTCTTCAGACAGACAAATCAAACGAGTTTCAAAAGAGAAAAAAAACATTTTGGCAGCACATTTCCCTGGGGGATACGAAACTAAAAAGGTCTAAAACCAAATAAACAGGGATATGGCATAAAAAGGCCCGAACAGGGAGAAAAATTGCCGATAAATTGAAACTATCAACAGTGGCAGAATTCTACTTTGGTACATCACCGCTGATATTGCACGTTTGAAAATTTACAGTTTTAATTTAAACATTCAAACTTGAATGTACTCCTGCAATCCACTGGCATAGCTGTTAATGGAATTTGTGAATACTTATTCTAAAGAAACTTTCGAAGACCTTCAACCAATTAGCATGCAAATAGCAATAATACCAGTGAGACCACAAACAGTACACCGGTGTACAAACAAAAAACCGGCTAGCATATAAACAAACAGCAGCAAAGAACATCAGAAATAAAAAACGGATTAAATTATTAGGGTTTATATTAAAAGAAAAGTGAGATATGTGCACGAAATTATATGATATGTATTTCGTGTAGTAATGAGACCAAAATGATTTCTTGAACTTATCGCAACTTAGGAAATTTTAGAAATACATTTAAACAGAGAACATTTGAAAAGAATTCAGGTAGTATTAGAATTAACAGTAAACGAACATAGCAATTAGAACTGTTCACCACAGATCTATTAGTCGACACAATTAAAAAAAAAGAATCAAAACTGCTTGCTATACACCAAAAATTTTCCTGAATTGATGATTACACTGTTACCTGAGATTATAAATTTATAATGCTAACGGATAACATCAAAACAGCTCTGTTAATGAACAGATAATAATCAAGAACCATAACTTATGCACTGCACTACTATCTCTAATGATCTGATCAGAACCGAAGCGTTCATTAGATGTTCTTTGTAGATACTTTTGATTAACCGAAATCTGTCATTCTCGTTTCCTTCCACGAAATCTTCATCATTAGCAGGCAGAGAGATGGAATCCAAGATGCTAAGCACTATTTAACCATACTTAGCAACTTGTTCCCACTTTTTTCCGTCTCCGGTATTTCCTTGTCTTCAGTCTTTAAAGATTCAAACGGGTGACATCGCTACTCCTGTGACACTCCGAAGGGTAACAATCAAAGGCACATATAAGCTCGAAAGATTTTTCTGTTTAGTATAAAAATTGTGGTTTTCTCAGCTATTGCAAAAAGCGCTATATTTCCAGCTCCTTACAACAGAACCAGAAAAAGTTTTTCAACTAACAATATAAGCATAGGAAAAAGACATCTAGCATTCATTCTCTTTAACAGCTAATATCACACTACGCAAAATTATTTCATAAATGCAAGATGGGTGATATCTGTAGAGGTGCTGGTACAAGTTCCACATTCACTCGCACCATTTCTTGCACTGTGTTCCGCACTGGCAAATGTGCAACCATTTCATCAAAAACAACACCTACTGCTGTTGTTGAACCATTTGTTGAAGAAGATGGTTGAGATGATTGCTCTCTTACCAGAAATGTTTGAACCGTATAAGGTTTCCTATTTGTAGATAGTTGTCCATGTCCCTCTGGCATCGCATCCGAATCTGGCGAATTTGGCTAAAAAAATGCGAAGATGTGCTAGTTTGCAAAATTCAATACAGTATAGTTTGGTTTTCAAAGCCATACTATATTCAAATATTTTGGATGTTTAATAGTTGTACCAGCGTCTTAAAACGTTACACCAAGAGGCGTGACAGTGATTCTATTTCAGCAAAGCCAATACTTGAACAACCAAATTCTCAAGATATCTGTGGATTTTCAAAAGACTGAATTGCAATTACAGTCGAACGATGACCTACCGTATGAGTATTTCGTCCATGATCTTTTGGGTTGCTACCATTTTCCAAATTCAACATTATTTTCCCCTTCCTCACTCCAACCAATTTAGTGATGTCTTGACTTCGTCCATTTTCTGTCGCACCATTCACTACTGGTTCTTTCGATCCCGTTTTATTATTTGTTTGACTTCCAATGTGATATAAAAGATGTTTTTCGCAATAGTCCCGTGACCAAAAGCGGTATTTGCAGCCTTCGAACAAGCAAATGTAACGTTTCTTCCATAATTTGCCTGATATTTGTTAGACCTAGCAACATGAATAACAGAACTGAATCTCAAAAAGGAATGCGTGCAGCAAGCAGTGTCTTAGCATAGCAAGTGTTATACTTGTCGTCATGGCGAGGCTTCGCGAACGAAGATATGTGAGAGCTCTACCCATGCAATAAGTGTTACTACATGGTAAAGATAGGAACAAATATAGTAAAATCTAATAAATTACAAATCCGTGATCTTAAAATGAGAGGTCAACCTAATCTCTAATTTCCAACCTCTCTCCTGATCTCCAGAATCTGATTGCCAAAATACAAGTGGCAGATGTCCCCAAATTAATTTCAGTATTACGAATGTCTCATTATCATGGGCAGTCTTATGAGAACCACGATTTATAGTTTTTTTTTCCTCACAATCCTCCCTTACTATTTCTCTTGACATAACGCTTATATGGAGGATGCACAGCAATCACTTACGAGACGAGATAACACCATGAGATTTATTCTTTCCATTCTTCGATGAAAACTTCAGTCGCCATTGATGAACGATAGAAACGTGCTTGCTCAGTATGATAGGATTAAGATATCGTCGTGGACACCAAGACACTGGACAATCAAAAAATTTTTGCTGAAATTCTTTGCGACTTACTTTCATGTAGGTCTTCTCCGTGAATAAGTTACAGTTAGTAACATTACTTACGCGATGCACCAAAATAGTCGACTAGAAGCTTAATCTTAACTAAAAACGCTTCAAATGATTGTACAATTTCGAACCGCACAAATTGTTGATGCCACAGCTAAGCGCTATGAAATTCATAATGTTATTTCCGAATAACCAAATAGGGCTATCACTGGGGTGAGAACTGAAGCTCTGATGATAATAAGAGCTAGCAATATTCATGAACAACTTGTAATAAGGAAATATTTCGAAAAGTCCAGATTCCAGAAATTAGGTCCCTATATTACCACACACTTAAAATTCCTGTAACAAGGAAATAAAGCCAAGAAATCCAAACTTTGCAGGAAATCGATTGAAATATTAGCGTGATGACGACATGCAAGATCGATATATCAAAAAGCAAACACTAGGTATCAAAATTAGTTACTTACAACTTTCTGCGCTACTTGATGCTCATCTCCCGACGTTTCATCCTCTTTCATGTCTTCTGTGCTTCTATTTGCAGGTTTCCCTCCTGAATCAACCCACGAATCTGCCATACTAGAGAAATGGAAACTGTACTGTGTACAAAGCGGCTCCATATTATGAGCTGTTACTGCAGGAGAACCCGTCTCTCCTGAAGCAAGGAGAAATAATCATACTAAATGAATGTATTATAACAAATACGCAGGGTGTGCGAGCTTTATTTTCCTTGAAATATATCATATATTCAAGAATCAATATGCTTTCCTCTCGCTTAACTTGACATGTTGGAAGTCATCGGGAATATCCCAAATCAACAAACAATTCAGAGACCACAAGGGGAACTACTAAAGCAATAACCTCTGCATTCTCATCATCTCATCATTTGCATATCAACCGCTATGATCATTCATTAAATAACAAACCTGGACTACGAATAACCAGTGGATGATTGTGGATCATATGCAGCTGAAACTGAATTTGGTCGTTGAATATATCTGCACAATGTGTGCAAGTGAATTCACCTCGTTCTGTCATCATTTGTTGCTGCAAGTTCGTCGCAAGAGATCCACCAAGCGTTGCAGCACTTTGTCCACTTTTAATCTCATAAGCATCCTCAAAATAAGTGAGCTTTTTCCTAGTTGAGAAACAATATTGCAAACAAAATACTGCCCATTTACTAATTATTATTAATAACAAAGCATATGCTATAACAAATGATAATCCGGAAACAACTGCAGATAAGCCATGAATATTCCACCTGGTAAAACTGGTCTGAATTTATGCGTTTTCAATTGCTTCCATTAAAGAAATATCCACTGAATTTTTCTCAAGTATTGTTACTCATTTAAAAATAAAAGTATTTCTTACCTTTAACAAACCCTCAAGTGACTCCAAGCCCATATCCATTCTGTGTTTCTCACTAAGATGTTTCTGCATTGCTACCACACCGATGGTTCGTACATCACAGAGCGGACATCGCAATTGACTAAAAAATAGGCCATTGCATTATTTAAAAAAAAAATTTTTTTCTAAAGTCTAATATTCTTACATCAGAAGTAGCAAACAGTACTCTACTAAGACTCCGTTCTAGCGAACAGCAGCCTGACAAGAAAACACGACATATCACCAATCTTTCATTCAATTTAACTCATTTTGCTACTAGTAAAATATGAAAGTTCTTGAAGCTTACCCCACTAGATTCGTCTGAAGAGCAAATGCTCTTTCAAATGCAATCTTCAAATCTTCTAGAAAGCGAGCCGAATAACGCTGCATTTTTGGCACTAATTTGTGTCAAATCAAATTAGTGAGAAACAAACTAATACAGAGTACAGCGTACAAATAATTTAAGGAAGCATGCAAATAATTTAAGCAAATAGGGCAGGGCACAGGCAATAACAGTAGAAAGGAGTAGCTCAAAGGGACAATCGGAACGAAAAATGGGAATCTCTCTGCAAAATTTCTCAGAAAAAAGAACGGGATGTCTTCCTCTCTCACTCCACTATACACTATACAGACACCGCAACAGCAACAGCGCATGCCACATTCGCTTCACGACCGTCACGATCGATTTTACTGGCAAATGTACTTCGTCTGCTCTCTTCAACTGATGAATGTCGAAGAAAATTCCGCAACATTTCAAAAATATATTCGGGAGGGGTAAAAGGGAAACATACTTTCCCCTTTCTTCCTTCTTCAGCACATTGCTTATACGGGGCCGTTATTCCAGCCTACCAAACAAATAACACGAAAGATCCAGTCATCATCATCCTGAATGTTTCTCAAATCATTTTCATCTCAAAAAATTTACGTCATAACAGCGAAACGTCACTGAGGGAAAATGGAACGATCAACCACTCCACTTTCCCACGCACACAAATTTTAAATCAGCTCTGTAACCGACAAGAAAAAATTACTCAATATTATTTCCACTTTGATCTGCAGTTTTAAGAGCTTGACTGAGAGTCGATGTACTGGTAATACTTGAGGTAGAACTGAGAGATCCACGATGACCACGTGACGTAGGCAGTGACACAACATTATGAACTTCCTGCTTGTGTTGCTTTAAAGATTCACGAGTTTGTCCTACATTTGTATTACAAATATCGCAGCTGAAAGAAATACATCTGGTTTTTCCCCTATCTTTTTGTTTCTGAAACTTTGACCATACAAGATGCTTGCCCATATTTAAAGCGAGAGCTTCTTTGAGCCTACTGACTCTCAGTCTCTTAGAAAGTAACAAACCATTCTCGATTTTTTTAGTTACTCTTATATAATAATCTGCTAATATTTAGAAAATGAATACTCCAGTCATTAGTTACTGAATTTCACTTATAATAAATACCGAAAAGCGATCGTGCCAGACTTCTCCTTCTCTAAAGTATCGATATTTGCAATAACTGTTTTGTGCTCATCAATGACAATGCCATGCATTTTGAGCATATGCGTTCGAAGGAAATATTTGTTACATACTTCCTTGTTGCAAACATCGCAATAATTCTTGCCCGTTGTTGTATACTGCTTTTTCGGTTGTCGTGACTGAAAAGAAGCAGGTTTTTTTTTCTTCTTTTTTCTGTAACAGTAAATATAAATATTTAAGAGTTCGGTCAACAAAACACCACCAGTGTTAGAAATTAAATCTATTAAATCTTGAATGGAAAAGAAATAAACAACGACATACAGCACTGATGGGGGACGTAACCATTCCTGGCATAGCCGTTGCATTACGAGATCGGTCTGCATCATTATCCTGATTATTCTGCTGTTTTTGTGATTGCTGTTGTGGCTGTAACTGACTCAGTGGAGACAATAAGTTGAATGAGCTAAGAAAACTATTCAAGATATTATGCTGTAATAAGAGATGATGCTGCAGGGTCGCTCGGTTCTCGCACTCCTGTCCACACATTTCGCATGCTTCTTTACTGGCTGATGAATGCTTTGATGGTGATCTACAAAGAAAATTGATTCCTATAAAACTTTTGAAGTGGTAAGTAGCAAAAAGTGCAATATAACAGACTTTGTAAATGCCATATGGATCAATAATAACAAAAAATGAATAGCTCACGATTGTTGTTGCACTTGTATTCCATCAGCTTTAAATGATGATAACAGTTCTTGCGCAATTGCATTTTCCTGAGCCTGACGAGCGATCATTGCGAATAAATCACCCGTGTTTGGTAACTGACTTGCGACACTTGCAAGTGCTTCTTCGTCAGTCCTGACACTCTCCGACCTATAATTACATTGCTTCTGATCACTCTGTCCGACAAACGAGATATATCGATCGAGTGCGGACACGTGGATAAAAAAGGATCTACCTGCCTGCACCGAGTAACTCATCATCATCTTTACTTCCTTCATCAGTCGTTCTTGCTCGTTTGGTCGGTGATGAGTCCGCACTAGATAAACAATTGACAATAACAGAGGTTGGATGAGAAGTCGTTTTTGAAGGCGATATCTGTGAAGCATCTAGCACATTCTGATTGCATAGTGCAGCAATAAACTCAGCTGGACTAAGGTTTATCCCTGTCGAGGTAGTTGGCAAATCCAGAGGAAGATTCTGTGGGACGGTTGCTAAAAAAATCCATTTAGGTAATAAACTAAAATGAAAGGTCCGAAAAGATCCAAATCCTGACGGATAATATGACCCAATCCTCAATTCAACAGATACCAAAGAAAAAAGACGCATCTTGAGTACCGAACTGCTTTCGACTCGTGCGAAATTCAGTTTATCCATTTTGCCGGATGTTAAGCAATTAAGATGCAATTGGCAGTTGTAAGTATAAGACTAACTAACGTGACGCTAGTGATGTTACATTGCATTCAGATGGCGAGTTTTTGCCTGGAAATGGAATGCCGTGTTTTTTCCACTTATGTGTTCGAAGAAAGTAGCGATTGCAAAAATTCTTGTCACATATCTCGCAATAGGTATCCTGGAAAGTTGAAGAACAGGGTTCCTTTGGACTGTGGCTCAGCAGCTCAAACAGCTCACAAAATGGCTCTCAACTGGAATGAGTAACCCTGCATTCTTGTCTTAAGAGAGGAAGAAATCCCGATTGAATGAAAGCAGTACGGATTTACCTTCGAATGCCCAGCACTACTGGCAAATGGTGAATTGAGGATTGAGCTTGGGCTGCAATTTGTTGATGGAACCATACCCGCAGAACCATTGGTACTGCCAAGTGCTGCTAGGACTCGGAGAGAATCTTCAACTGATCCAGGCGAGAAATACTGATTCATCAGCTGTATCTGCTCCAGCATCGGTGGCATTCGTTGTGTTAGAGCAGCCATGTTTCTGGAATTTCAACAGATTGTGAAAGTACACGGAATATTTCTTATCCACTATATTTTGGAAAACTTACAGAGCCGAGACATTATTTGGCAATCCTGGAAAAAAATCAGAGATCCATTTTGAAAGATCAAGCTGCTGCAATTCCGATACTGATGAAGGCTGCAAATTTTCGCTCTCTACCAGAGCAATGTCTTCAGTATTCACTTTCGTTGGGCTGAAATCAATAAAATTCAAGTTGAAATTTTTATCTCTTTATTAGACGATCAGAAGCCTCGTCTCCGGTTCTAAGACGATGAAAATTAATGAAACTCAAAACCTTAATGCAGCGTTATCCACAGAATTCCGTTCGTTTGTAGATTCCGTTTCGCGATCCACAGCACCAAATGGTTTGGGTGGTAACGGTGACTCAGCGTCACACGACGAGATCGCCACTTCGGATGAAGTTGACGCTACCAACTCTGCTTTATTATTTTCGCCAACGGTTTCCTCCTGTTGTTCATTTGTGGTGCCACCGTTACTACCATTCTGACCCTGGTTTAAAGCTGCTGCTGCCGCTAACTGGCTTAAATACATCGCTCCCAAATTCTGAAATAAAGATTTCATTAAGCTTGCTTTGTGCGCACTTTCCTAATTTCAAATAAATTTTACAGATCGAAACACACCGATTCGGGAGGCCGGAATAATGGCATGTCCAACTGCGCATTGGCAAAAACCGATGGCAAAAAATTGTAAGGTGAAGGCAGCATGGAAGCAGATTGCATGAGTTGCTGATGATGTTTCGCACTTCCACTACCGCCACCCAAACTCGATGGCATCATCATATGATACTTCTACTCTGTAATTTTCCCATAAAATCCACAAATTTCAGAAATGAAATAGCACATAAGCACCTTCAAACTTCTCGTTTTCTAAAAACGACGACGACAAGGAATGTGGAATGAGCTGCGATTAGGAAAGTGTTGAGAAATGGGTGCTTGATGTTCTGAGTGGATGTTCCTCGATTCGAAACTAACCGTGGAAAAGTGTATGAGAAAGTTAGTTCCTGAAAAAGAACTTGAAATGAAATGACTGCCATTCGTTGCATGGGTAGCAACAACTCTTATCACTTGGAAAGAATCAAGCAGCATCCTCTTCCCTATCTGCCCAGCCCAAATAAAACAGCTTTACCTCACTTCTAAATCATATCAGATAATAGTATACTTCTATAAATAGTCATTTGAAATGACGAAAGTTACAAGTCAACGTCCTTCCTCATCTTCTCACACTTATAGCCTACAGCCTTATCTAGTTTCCCACTATGTGCAATAGAGATAAGTCCATAGAAGAAAGATTCCTACAGAAATTCATGTTTATCGATCAAACAGCGATACTATCTATAACAGGGGTATACCGAATGTGGAATGATAATTGAGTTGAATTCCAAGACCGAAACTGTTCTCTGAAGGGAGAGGACGCGGAGGGGAAGGGGATGGGAAAGGTTCTGTCTCGTCGAAATTAAAAAACGATTTTTGAAAAAGAGAAAAAAGCAAAAAATGCAAATGACAAATGAACAGTGTAATATGGAGATGATCGGTACAACGGGGAATATACCTACGGAAAGAGAAGTAGGAGGGGAGGAGGGGTGATTTGTTTGCCAGATGCAGTCATTTGACGAGGGTTTCCTGAAATTCTTTTAGAAGGGAAATGCGGGAATGTTTCATTGAAGAAGAAACAAGCATACATGTGCATATCACAGCCCCATTTCAGCCATAACAGAAGGATGTGACGTTACCGTAACTTATCGGTGTAATCCCGAGAGGAAGAAGGAAACAATAGCCGGGAAGAGCCACCCTCCCCCTCATGCGCTCAGCTCCACATTCCGCCAACACCAACACAACCAAAGCTTAGCAGACAACAATCCCCAATTACGTGCGTATCTCACTTAAACACTTATGAGAGCACATCCAAACACATTCATGCACGTACATCCATATTCACTGCATGCATATCTCAGGAGGCGCTTATAGCTCTTTCTGCGCACACTGTATATGGGTTGGAGGTGGAGCTGTCATCTTGATAGCAGGCTACCATGTAGGCCATCAAGCCGGGATGGTCAGCAGGAACGAAGGGATGTGCAAGCAGTTCACACCCTCTCCAACACTGAGAGCTTCTAATGTTGAAATAAATTGAAAGCAAAAGTGGCGTTGATCATTACCAGGAAGGAAATGCATAACAACGCTGGCTGGCTGTGTTACAACAAATATGGAAAATTAAGGGTCAGTAAGATGCGCCTCATAACGTGACAGTTTGTGCGGTGACAATATCAATTTTTTTTTCATTTTGCTTCAGGTGCACTCTGAGGATTGCTGCTTCTTAAACAGTTGAAAAAATTAGCCGTAAAAATTCCACTGCTCAAAAAGAAATTGAATGAATTAAGATTCACAGCATGACTGTAAAAGGAACCGAGATATGCAGAGACAGAGATCAGATACTGCTAAAACACGTAGAGGGCAACAAATCAACAAGCAACAGATTCCAGGCATTTAAAAACGGAAAGATCTAACAGAGTGTTTCATTGGCCGATTCAGAAGGGTCACTTCGATTCTACTGAATGACTATGGGTCTTCATGTTATGGTAATAAGTTCTGTGGTTTGGAATAAAAAACATGAAAAATGGTAAATACTAAATATAAGCAATAAAATTAAGGGAAGATAATTAAAAGAATCATCTTTCGATTTGGAAAAAACTTTTGTTGAGAGAAGAGTGCATGATCATTACAGACATTACAGTAAGATTGTTTGGTTTAGAATTTAGAATGAGAATTAAAACGATTTGGATGTAGAGTTCAAAGTTCATTGGGGTCTTTCCTAAAATTTCCATTGTAAATTCAGTTGCAATATTTACCTTAAAGACTCCAGAAGAAAGCTCGATTATTGTTGATTCCGGACACAGCCTGAAAAGAAGTGGTGAATTCCAACAAATCTCTCAAATGAATTCGAAATATTAATGAAGATTAACGGTGGCGACGACACGGAGCACAGGGGACAAAATCATTAATTCAGTACACACTACTCGATAGTTGAAAGTAGGGATGATAGTGATTTGAATATGACGGCGATAGAATTGAAATTAAAAAAAAAACCGTTCGCAACAAATGCTAGCACTGTTTATGTAAGCACGTTGTAGCGTATGTAAGCACGCCATCTGTATGTGTAGCGTTCGTTAAAATTGTCTTAATGCTCATTCATATATATTTCTTTTCCTCCATACCACCCTTCCGGAAGTTTTCACAAAGATTTTTTTAAAAATTATTATTTTAAGGAAACAATGCGAGAAATGAAGATTAAAAATTAATAATAAAGAGCGCAAATTTCATGAAAAACGCATAAACTTGCCCTATCTTTCAAAGTTAGCGATAGAATTAAAAGGGAGCAGAAAATAAACCGAATTAAAATGCAAACATTTACAAGTGGAAAAATTTTTTTCGCTGATAAGCGCAGCGTTACTTTTGTTGGAAGAGAGGAGAAGCAGGATTGAGATGGCATTGCTTTCTGCAAGTACACCCAAAAATATCCATAATTCACTGCTGCTTCCGCCGAATTCTAAAACCTTTCTCCGCTTTCACATAAACTGTCATTGTTTCGTAAATGAGAACTGCGTCAGCTCATATCAAGAAAAAATGGTCATGATCTCCGAGCACCGCGAAAATTTCCCGATACACGATACACGCTGTTAACCATGTCATTCGCTTAGACTTGCACCTTATCCCAAGAGTTTGCAAATCTTTGATTCTTTCCGATCATGACCATTTCCTTCTTTTCTGAAAGTAGCGACCAGAACAAATATGCAAGGAAGTCTCGTCTAACCATACAGTTCTTATTTTACCAGCAACATTTTTTAGATTACTCGAAGTAATTTCTTCACAATATATTTTCGCCAACTTCTTTAAGAACAATTTTAAGTTCACACCATAACTTCTTGGAATTTGATCAATTTAATCAAGTCATTGGATGAGTGGGAAGGGTACCAAGTTCCATCTTTTCATATGCTGCAAGTACCATTAAAAGGTAGTAATTGGGACGATCAGTACAATGAAAATTTGTGCAGTAAAATAATTCGTATATGAAGGAATTTGTCTGCGTTTATCAGCACTTAACAGTTTACGTTACTCGGAAGAAACTGAACGTGCTATAACGAAGTTAACGATGAACGCAGTAGCGATTCGTAGTGGATGATGAAGCGGAATATTAATTCATACAAGCGGTAAGGAAGTTTTCCCGCGTAGATCATTTACAGACAATATATGATGTTACGAGAAGATCCGCCTTTCAAGAATATTCAAGAATATTTTGTTCGAAATATAAAAAAAGACGTTAAGAGGAGAAAATCAATAAGCATTTTATCAACAGATTTAATTTTTGATCAGCTATGGATACAAATAACCATATGAAATTAGTTAGTAAAATATAATCTCATCGAAATTTCATTTGATTTAGGATCATTTAATATAAGATTTGCCGATGGGAGATATATTCAATATTAATCTTTAGATGGTCTGAAATAGTTGCTACTTATTTTCGTTCTCGTGTAAGTATTCATACCTAAGGATGTCAGATTCAAATAAGATCGGACTAATGGAAATTGGCAACAGAAAGAAGAAATACAGTGTATATTTAATTAAAATGACAACTGAAAAATGCATACTGCACTTTGTATCTCCGATCATTAGTAAATTCTCGAATTTCCAATTCAAAATATGAAAATAAGAAATCAAAAACAAAAATTGAAATCACATTTTTTTTGCATTGCAGAAGGAATTTATGCGAAATTTCGGAGCGAATGAAATAAAAATCTATATTATTCGCTTTCAGGACAAATTGAAAAATTTACGATTTGCAAAAAAGTTGTGCCGCGCGTTTCACAAGATGCTTCTTTCGGAGTGCTCGAAATTTATAGTGTGAAAACATAACGATATGAGAGCACTCGGAATAAAAGGTGAGCGGGGGTGCAAGAGTATCAGTAAAAAAGTGATAATTCCTTACATACACTGACATACAAACACATACACACATGCATACATACAGTCGTTTCAGCAATGTAAATAAATTAAAATTTTGTTCAAACAGTTGAATGAAACAGTTCTTGAAATGTAAGTTGATATAAAATATAAATTGATATAGAATATTCCGACTCATCATTATTTCCTTTTCAAATTTCTTAAACTTTGGGAAACTTTAAATGATGACATTATCGTAATAGTGCAGAAAACTGTTTCAAAATGAAGTGTATGTGCATTTTAATCTCGTATTTAATTTTAATATGAAATCTCACTGTAAATTTGTAGTCTTTTCATTTGCTGTGTTCAATTCTAAGAAGCAAAAATTCATTTTTTTAGAGATAGATAAATGATGACATAGCAATTAATGTAAGAGTTTCGAGTGACACGGAAACCTGAAAAGAACCAAATAAGCTATCAGGAAGCAAGCGACCAAGAAAATCTCGGGACTTCATTATAGATAAAAAGGCTTCAATTTAGAAAAACCAAAACTTGGAAATCCACAATACATGCAAAAGAAATTTTAGAAACGAATAAAAATTTGTGCCGTCATTCAACATCTTTAAGCAAGTTTTATCTAGTCTCAGCAAATACGAATATATTGTGTCCTACTGTCCCTTCATTTGCTTAAAAGAAAAAAAAGGCTGGAAAACATGCTCTACAATATATTGTTTGAAAGTTTCGCATTTTATTGCTTAGTTTGTAGAAAAAAAAGAAAAAGTTAAAGAGCACAGATTCGTGACTAGTTTTTTGAATGTTTCTTTTCAACTGTTTCAACAATTATTTTATTTAACCTTTTATTTCCAATAAATTAGCGGCAACTAATACCTGCAGTAATGTAGAAGGTTAATTACCAATGACTTTCGGGTGAACTAAGGAAGATGAACAGCAAATGAAAAAAAATGTCCCGCAAGTCTTTATTGACATAAAAAGCAAAATTTACTCTAGAATATTCAACACTGTCAAGTTTTTGAGCAGGTGCGAGGTAATAAACTTCTTGGGATCACGGACTTGTCCCTTTCACGTATTATTGAACACAGCACATTTAAGATCTTAAGTGATAAGAAGTGTCAAAATATGACGTATATGCTCCTTAAAATACGATAAGGCAACGTGAAATATATAATATTTCCTATTGAAAGAATGTTACTAGGAACGCTGTCACTTGGAATTTAATCACAATATTAGAAAAAAGAGAGAAAAGAGTAATCGTACTTCTTTGCTAAAAATTTTTGTAAAACAAGAAATTACCAGCACTGAAAAAGAAAAATGTCAATATGGAACAGTCGGTATGATCTTGTAGCAATTCATAATAAAAGCTTTTTAAAAACAATAGGAGGCAGAAAATAATCTAGTTGAAAATGTGTTTCGAAATGAATAGACCGGGAAAGAACCAAGGCGGGATAATAGTGGTAAGATCTGCCCAGCGATGACGAGCTGCAATCCTGATTTCGAACAGGATTAAATTAAATGAATGAATGATTTGATATGAAATATGATTTATTAGAAATTCCCAAAAGAAAATCAGCAAATTAGACAGGGAGTCAAACAGAATAGTGGGATACCACTGCCCGCCCCCATCGGATGGTAGTATTCGTTGCTATTGTTGTAGTAGTAACAGAAGTAGCAGTGATATTATTATTATTATTACTAATTATTATTATTATTATTATTATTATTATTATTATTATTATTATTATTATTATTATTATTATTATTATTATTATTATTATTATTATTATTATTATTATTATTATTATTATTATTATTATTATTATTATTATTATTATTATTATTATTATTATTATTATTATTATTATTATTATTATTA